ATATAATTTCCCAATATTAATAAAATATATTCCTCTAAAACCTTTAAATTTTGGTTAATGCTTTAGATACTTTAATAAAATAATAAAATATTTCACAAGCTATAACTATTAAAAATAATTCTTTTTATACATTACTCTATGTTCGTTGGATGTTTAATATCCTTGATTTATATGGATAAGTTTTTTCTGACCATTATCATTTAATTGGATTAACACAACTATTATAGTATAATATGATTAGTCAGTATAAATGATATTGGATTTTCGAGGTTTAGGAAAGGATAAATAAGTTATTTCAACCATATTTTTTTTTATTCATTCAAATACCTGAGGTGGTTCTTCATTCTAAATAAACATTTTCCTTTTAGTTCATAATAAAATTAATTTAGATATTTATTCTAAAAAATTCCTAATATAATTCTATAATAATTAGCAGCTCCCAAAAATAAATTCATTTGTTTCTTAGATCTAGGTCATCTACTTTGCTGATTGTTTTGATCTTATATAACAAAAATCTAATTCCTTCATAATTTATAATCTATTCTAAATACGTTATAAATGTTTTAACTTATGTTTGTCCGCAATTATCCCTAAATTGTTGTCAATAAGAAGTTTATTTATTTTTCCTAATACATAAAAATATTCAAATATAATTTTTGTTAGAATGATAAAGTCATCAATATACACAATTACATAGTTTTTTCGAGTTAAGTCCATAAAGATATTTTTTATTATTCTTTGAAATTATATGGGACTAGTTTTTAACCCAAATGGTAGTATACTAAATACAAGTATCCCGAGTATGAGTCCTTGGTTTATAAATTATATTATATATCTCTTTTGTATAATATTTAGATAAATAAATAGAATTAAAACATTTTATTTTGTACGTGCTAAATCATGACTACAATGTGCAATCATAAATGGGTAAATTGAAATAGTTATTGAAAAGTATGCACACTAAAAATATGTGTATATATATATATATATATTTACTTGCACTAAAAGTTAGTATACGAAAAAAAAAATTATATAAGGAATAATAATTTTTTTATTTTATTTCTTTTTTATTTTCTTATGATTGTATCCATAATTCCAAAAAAAAATGTTATTTATTTTTTTTTTTTTTTTGGAATATGATTCTGACTTAAAAAAAAAGTATGTTGTGATAATATTTTTTTTTATTATTTTCTCTTTCTTTTTTATTTAAAAAAAATGTAATCTTAAAAAAATAATAATTTTTTTCTTTTTTTTGGGGAAATGAGTATATGTGAATTGCTATGGAGTTTATATTTTATTTTAAGTTAAAATTTAATATTCAAAAAATAACATTTTAAAATATTATGTAAATTCATGTAAAAAAAAAATAGCTGGTTAGTAATATTTGATGCTTATTAATAAAAATATTTATTTTTAGATTAAAATTTTAATTAAACAATAATTAAATTAATTAGCGTTTACCCTATATTCTCTTTATTAATTTGTTTGTTCCATACTAGAAAAGTCATTGAACAGGGAATTAACAAATCGGTACTATAAATCATGTATACCTTTTACTATTTCCATCTAGTTCTATGTTTCAAGATCCATTTTTAAGATTTATTTTAGAAAACCATTTAGTACCATGAAAAGTTTGAAATATATATATCATATATAGAATGACATTTAAATCACCTAGTATAAACTTATTTAAATGGCGACAGTCTAGTATAACTCTCCGCTGACCAATTTTCTTGATAATCATTATAATAGATGAAGTCCGGTCAACATTAATAACTCTCTTTATTATTTTTAATAGATACACTTTGTTTTTTTTTTTTTATGTAACACAAGTAACATTTCTTTACTTATAGGTATAAGGTTATAAAGCCAAGGTTTCCCTTGTGCTCTAATATAAACTTTTATTTATCTGTAGCTTTTATAATTCCATATTCCCAAAATCTTGTGTGATTCTCTGATACTTTTTTCAACTTGTCTTTGTTCTGGTCAGATAAGTCAAATTTTTCAATAAAGCCCCGAATAATTTCTTTATTCAATTTTTTCATTTTTCTTCTCTTTTTTACGTTTGACTTCCATAATATAAATATGATTACTTCTATAATTAGCAACATAATATCCTAATTTATTCATTACAAAACCACTAATATAAAAGATTTTTTTATATTTATAATAGCAAACATGATTATGCCTTTTTACTAGTAGATTTTATATGAATCATAATCTTCTTGAATTTTCTTTCCATTTCTCCATTGAGTGTTTCACTTACTTTAATTAGTGGAATTAAAATTCCCCGTTTTATATCTAGTTTTCTTGACAAGAAAAATAATATAGTACATAATTTTACTAAGGTATCTAACGACGCATTAGAATTCTTTCCATTAATTTCTAAAATGTGTTTTGCATTAATACAAAATCCTTTAACACTTTCAACATCTTGTACTTTATTAACAGATAATACACTCTCTGCCGGATTTTCAATATCTTTCTCAATCTGTACTTTCATTTAATATTCTTTTTCTTTATGTATCCTATTGATATTATTTCTTTTTCTAAAAAATTCTTCATCGCTTTAAGTTTGTTATTTTGAGATTTTTCTTTTGCTCTCTGTTTTTTTTTTTTCAAAAGATCTCCTATTTCTTATATAAATATTTTCTCATTAATAAAATTTTTTTTTAAATTGTTTTCACTTTTAATTAACTAAAAACAAATATTATACCTCTTATTCATTATTAGTCCTCTAATTTCACCTTATTTATCCATTATTGCTTTATTTTTAAATAGTGATACTAAATGACTTGCTATAATTATTACATTTTTTCTTATGATGCATAAAATCCTTTTTAAGCTGACCTTTTTCTTCGATACAATAACATTTATTATAATATTGATTTATTCTTTTTCCAAAATTTTTATTATTCCCCTTACTCACTGAACATATTTTCAAGTAAAAATGATTATTATCTTCTTTCTACATACTATACAATGTTAGTATTAACCATATTTTATCCATGAAATTCTCATTTTTAGATAATTTAATGGGTGACTTTATTAAAAAATTATATGTAATTCTTAATCTAAAGAATTTCAATAGATCATTAATATTAAATCCATCAGATTCTTCAAAACATAAATAACTATCAAAATACCTTTTAAAGTATGCATTGAATTAATTCACACCCTCTAATAGGGTTTTTTTTTTTTGTTCTTTTAATAATTTTCTTATGTGCTTGACACATTAATCTCCATTTTTATATAATTTTCTGAATAATTTAATCTTTAACTCATACATTGTAGTATCTCATTGTCATATCATAATTCATTTATACATTCTAAGTTTTTGGTAACAGAGATTCCAATATCATACGGGTTCTATCTTGATCAATCTTTACTTTTTAGCTTTATTTTTAAAATTATCAAACCATTTAGAATGCTCTTCAGAAGATACTTCCCTCAACTTTGATAGTCTTTCAGGCATTGTAATTTTAGGATTTTCTTATCTATCTTTATTCTAGATACGTATATTTTGTTTTGAGGTACTACACCATTAAATACAATATGCTATAATTAATTTATTTCTTTGTTAATTATTAAGATTTCAGAACTATTGAGTTCATATCAAGAGGTTCGATATCTTCCGTTATTTCCAGTTGATTTATTAAATATCTATTATATTACTTTACTAAAGTAATGAACAAACAGATTAATAAAGAGCATATTGAGTTTCCTTTACTAATTTAATGAAATTAGTTTAATGTTATAAAAAAATAAACTGTATTTATATATTTTACTTTATTAAGAATCTAATATTTTTAAAGAGATATTTACCTTAATTAAAATCACTATTTTTAATAGAAATTTAAACCCTAATTAGTTATGAATTTTAATTACATTTATTTTATTTATAATGTTATGAATTGCGTTTAGTAATTTCAACACATTTTTCTCAAATTAATATAATTAACAAAATAAAAAATAAGTTATAAAAATACTCCAAAAAGAGAAAATTTTATTGTTAATATAAAGTTTTTTTATATAAGTTTAAACAAAAATATATTACAAAAAACTTTTTAATCAACAATTCTTTCTTCTATTTTTCGACAATTAAATCATAAAAAAAAAAAAAAAAAAATATATTTTTTCATGTATTTAAATTACAAAAAGAAAACAAAAAAATTAACTAATTTTTTTTTTATCTAGCTATTATATGTATAATACTTTATTTTCCATATAGCTACTACTTTTTATTCTCAAAAAGTCTAAGAATACCTTTTACTAACCAATCCCTAAATATTTTTGTTTTTCATCTTTATTTTATGTAATATACGTAAAAATAATTATTCTTATTTTTTTTCAATGATAGTATAAAGTATAAATTAGAATTAGCATAAAAAAAAATATATGTAAATAGAATGCATATACTTAATTTAAATATCTCAATAATATAGAGTATTTAAATTTACATATACTTTTGGAATTCTAAAATATAGAGGTTTAGGAGAATATTGTAATTTTGTTCAAATAAAAAGGTTAACATCTATTTTATTGACTATATAAATATAAGATAATATTTTTAAGTTCTTAATTAGGTATTCTCTTAATATGGATGAATAGAAAGCTCTTTATATTGATTTACACTTCCATATTATGAATTTAAAGAGATTAATAGTATTCCTTATTAAACAAATAGCTAAATAACACAATTGGAAAAACGTAGAAAAAGTATTAATTAAAAAAGGTAACAAATATTTTTATATATACTCCTTATGAAATTGTTAGGTTAATACTTGAAAATCTTAAAAAGGAAATTTATTTTGTTAGTATAACAGAAATTAATAGTTTTCTAAAAATTATATAGGAAAAAGATAACTAAAATAATAAAAATAATACACTTACTTGTAAAAGACATAATATAATATATTTACTGTGTTTTTGCATATAAAAAGATAAGTGAAACGTTACCTTCTTCAAAATGTACTCCAATATTTTTCTTGCATGGAACCTTATTCTACTTCAGCATCATAAACTTCATATTCTGCAAATCCTGAATCTAATGATAAATTATCCATATTATTATTAGCTCTTTGGATTTTCTTCTATAGAAAAAATTAAAAATTAACATAAGGAATTTTTTTTTAACATTACTAAACTTTTCATTCAATTGTGTTATAAAAAAAATAAAAGTATTATGTATTTATAATTGATTATATCTTACATATGCTATGTAAATCCACAATCCCAAAATTGTACAACTTATTCCAACTAATAAAGGAATTAAATATGGAGATAACATATCATATATTTTAGAAATATTACATGTTGATTTATTAAAACTATTATTTTTATTATGTTCTGGATCCATGTCTAATTTCTTTCTTCATATAAAATTTTTTTTTACTAATATGTTATCCTTCACTTGTTTTATACATATATAAAAATATTGTATTTATTTTTAGGATAAATGGATATTTTCAACTTTTTAAAAGAAAATTATAGGAAATCTGTTTGAACGCATTGTTTTTAGTTATTTTAAAATTTTAATTCTAATTATTATAGTTTTGTTTTTATTTCTTTTTACCACTAGGGTTTCTTAAAATTCATATTTAATTTAATAGATTTTCTTACAATATAATATTATATAAGCAGTGATTTATTAATTGTCCACTTTATGATTATAGAACTTAACTAGAAAATTAATAAGGAACAAGTAAAATTACTTTTTCTATATTAATGAATTTAAATATAATGTTATATTCTACTCACTAATAAATTATATTTATGTAATATACTTCAATGGATATTTAATGTTTTTAAGATCTATTTATTTAATTTAATAAAATCCCTAATTTATATGAAAAATTTAAATCTTCATTAATTATTGATTCTTAAATATATTTTACTGAAAATATTAAGAATAATATTAATTAATTAATCTTTATTGCTTTTAAGTTAACAAAAATAAATAAATATTAAAACACAAATTTAACTTATAAAAATATTATTAACACAAAAATTTCATTATTGAATGTATAGATTTTTCTAAAAAACTATCAAATAAAATTCACTTTTCGAAGAAATTGTTTTTATAAACAATTGTACTTCGAATTTTCAACAACGAAAAAAATATAGTAGAAAATAAAAAATAAGTACATATTCCTTTTATATTCTTAATTTATAAACACAATATAAGAAATATTTAAATTTTTTTTTTTGTCTATCATTTGCATAACTATCTATAGAATTTAAATACACATATTAATATTTATTCTAAAAAGGGTTAATAATTTCTTTTATTAACCAAATAAATTTTTTTTAATAAAATGTTTTTGATATATTAAATTAACATAAATAATTAATAGAATATAAATTTAATTTAATAAATTTTTTAGTTTAACACAAGAAAAAAAAAAAATAGAAATAATTCCTGAATTTTTTTTAAATATAATAATATAAAATCTTAAATATTTCTTAAATATCATTCCTTTTAATATGGATATAACAATATAACATATAGAAGAATTTAATTTTATATATAATAAAATTTAAAAAAAAAAACTTTCTTTAAATAAAAATAAAAATGTCATAATTTATGATCATTTTTTATTCTTTAAAATGATTATAACAATTTTCTTTTAATAATAAAAGAAATAATATTATATTATGAGCATAAATAAACATGTGCATGTACAATTATAATCTAATAAAAAAAAATTTTTTAATAATGTAATTTAATGCATGCAAAAACTTCTTTATAAATATATGAAAATTATTAAAATTGCAATAATTAAATTGATAACTATATAATAAAAATGTATAAAAAAATATAAATAAATAAAAACATGAAAAATAAGAATCAAAAATATTTTAAGAAAAAAAGCAAGATAGGTATAAAAAAAAAAAAAAAAATATAAAAAATTGTAATGAAAAATAAGAATGAGAAAAGAAAAAGCAAAAAAAAAAAATAATTACTAATAATGAATACATATATAAATATGGTTATAAAATTAAGGGAAATTAAAAATTATTTCATATTCAAATATTATGATAAAGCATGAATAATTTTACATATAATTAATGATAGTACTGAATTATTGAGTATTTTATTTTGAAATTGTAATGTTGTTATAATGCTGTAAATAAGTTTTACAATTTGAAAGTGATACATAGATATCATGGAAACACACTAATAATTATTTTTATATAAAAAAATAAAAGTGGAATTTCAACATTATAAAATTTAATAGTTTAGTAATAGTGAAAATTATAAAATTAATAATAATAAACACTTTTTAAAAACATAATATTTAGTGATGTTTTATTTTTATTTTAATGTTATGACATAATTATTACTTAAAACTTGGAAATATGTGGAAATACAAATGCAACATAAATTTTTTGTATGCATTACTCTTTTTAATAAGATTAGGAAACATATTTCGTAGAAATATTAATGAAAATGCTTATAGCTTTATAAAAATAACAATATTATTATATTGTTATGATATTTAATAATTTAATAATAGTAATAGAAAGATTAATACTGATTACCTTTTATTTTTATTATACAAAGATCATAATTATCCACTGATTGTTAAGAATTCTTATTTTTGGCATATAAAAAAATTTATGTATCTTTTTTATTACATATTACTCTATAGATAAAATACAGTAACATTATTGTCCTTGAAGACTTAATACTTTATATATATGAATATTCTAAATGATAATTATTCTGGTTTTTTTTAAGATTTCTTGTTATTTTTTTTTATTGAAATGCATAATTAATTTATCTTAAAATATAAAACCATATTTATATTTTTTTATAGAAAAATTTACTGTTTTACATATTATAAGAAAAATAATATATAAATGTTTACATAAATAAAAGGAAATTTTCTATTGAAAAATTAAATATATTTTAACTCTCTAAAAAGGTAATATATATTTATGTATACTAATTAAATAATTCTCCTATTATAAATAAAAAGTAATTTAATATAAGTCAATAAAAAAAATTATTATCTTTTTTCGGAACAAAAGGTCAATAGTGGTATAGAAAAAATGTAGTAATTTATCAATTTCTATTTAATGCCTTTACTATTATTGAACAAACAAATTAATAAAAAACATATAGAGAAAACTTTACTTGTTCTGTTTTTATCATAATAATATTTTAAGCATATTATTTATTTTTTTTTTTTTTTAATATCAAACAATAATTACATTAACTAATTACTATTTTTAATTAATTTACACGATATTTTATTTATGTAAATTTCTCTAGCATTACTTTTTCAATAAAAAAAATGCCTTAACATCATCTTTTTTAGGATACGTGCATATGTGTGCGAATATTCCTCACATTTTAGTAGCACAAATAAATACATTTTTACAAATTTTGTTTATGCAATTATTATTTAAAATGGGTTGATAATTCTATTTATAGACCACATTCCACCATCTTATTAAAAATAATGATATTATTAAATTTATTTTCCTTGGCTTGTTTTGCAATATTCATCCCTTTTTTTATACCATTATTTATTTTACAGTTTCCATTACAGTTCAACTCATATGATATAGTAATATTTCTATTATAAATATCAGAATAGTTTTTATTTCTAATTCATATATAAGTTATGATTTTTTCTTATTCTTTTCAGTGATATGCAACAAATTTCTTGAGTTGTGTATATTTTCTTAGTTTTACTACCTAGTAGATTAATTTTAGAGAGTGGAATTTAAATCCTCTTATCTCCATATTGAATAAATACTACTTTAAATTTTTCATTTTTGAATTAAATGCTCATTAAAATACTTTGCTAGAGTATTAAACCAACGTATTAATAAAGATCATTCACAATTATCTCTGTTGATTTAATGAAATTAATTATAATTTTAAATGCTATAAATCAGTAAAATGTATTTATATAATATACATTAATAAGCATTTATTGTTTTTAAGATGCATTTTCTTTTATAAAAATCCTATTTTTTTATTAAAAATTTAAATCCTCATTAATTATTAATTGCATATATTTTACCTATAATATTATGAGTAATTTTTAGCAACCCCAATCCATTGCTCTCAAATTAACAAACATAAATAATTAACGAATCACAAAATAAATTATATAAATACTAAAAAATAGAATAATTTAATTATTTATATAAAATCTTCTTTCAAAATATTCAACAAAATAATCAGGATTATTCTTTTTTTTATCTTCTCAAATAAAATATTTTATTTATTTTTTACCTAGTGCTTTTATGGCTAACTAAATATTTCCCATACAGCTATTAATTCTTTATTCTCAAAAAGGTTAGTAATGGATTTATTAATCAAGAATATATGCATTATATTCGGAACATAGTAAAATAATATGTTTCTCCTAAAGTTTCATGATATGTATTATTATATATATACATTTCATTTTTCACCATTTCTTCAATGGATATATCTTTTTCATCATATAACTTTAAGTATATAGTCGAGACGTTTATGAGAACTTTCGTTCGTTAAATTCCTTTGAGGATAATGAGCACTAGTGTAGTATAATTTGATTTTAAATTCTTCTGAAGTATATTCGAAATTCTTGACTCATATAGATAAAACTACGATACATAAGAATTCTTGTAGGGCATCCAAATAGAGAAATCGAAATGTTTCTCATCATAGAAATTGCATTATAATTAGTGAGTTTATAATAACACTATTTAGGATGAAATGTAAATAATGATATACTACTACCAATATAAAGCATTCTTACCATCCTCATGATTATGGTTCAGAAATATCTAATAACACCATGTTAAATATATTATGTTTAGATGATAATTAATATTAGGATTAAAATTTTGATTATGCATTACTTGACAAACTAAAAAATTTATAATATATTCTTTAATATTACAAATAATATTGGGACTCAAAAGGTGCGATGAATTTTCTTTAAAGCTTTATTGACTCTACAATGTAAAGAAAATTTACTATATAAAATAAGTTCATTAAATGAATCCTATGTCATTCTTGTATATAAAACAGTTTTGTTTTATTGTTAATAGGTAAGTTATTTATCTCTATTACATTTCTGGATATATTATTCCCCTCTTTTAGGGCTTCATTATATACTTCTTGGAAAGAAGGAATAACATATGAGTTTTTATGTTTCTCCAATGGTTTATTATAAAGTAGTGTCAAGTATTTAGGGGGATAAATTTCATGATATATTGATCTAGTTATCCAATCAACTAAAATATTTGAATTCTATCTATGTATTCGAATTCTATCTATGTATTCGAATTCAATCTATGTATTCGAATTCTAAATCAAATTCATATTGTCTTGACTTCCATCAATGT